TAATATGTAGCGACATGATATTTCGTGTACCAAACAATAATCATTAAATACAGTACTAAAGAATAGGTTTTATAAGACTTGCTACGCTTTTAAATTTTTAAATAGCTTTAAAAACCACAGGGGGAGCGAGTGGACTATTTGCAAAAACATGTGCCTGCCACAGGTTGAATTTCTGCTATGTTAACAATAAATACGGTTATTTTTAAATGATAAATATGTTGATTTTTTTATTTTTTACCTGAGCCCTATATTTAGTTGTGTTGTTTAAAAGTTATCAAGCCAGTCTAGACGTTTTTTTTCCATTTACTGAATTTTACGTCTGACAAAATACTGTCCATTAACATTACTTACATAATCAGTCTAAAACGTTACAAGACTTAATATACGGCTGACGAGCGACTTTCAAATTGCAATAACGGTATCCCGTCTAATTATTATACTTTCCGAGAAATTCATTATATATCAATCAGTACAACGTCATATTAAACTTACGAAACAACATGTAAAGACTGTTTGTTTTCTAGAATTTTCGCAAACTTCCACAATGGCCTATCTGCACATGGCCGTCCCTCCGACCGACAATCCTTGGTCTGACTAAACAGTAGGATTTACCGTTACTATTATAGTGCATCCAAGATCCTAAGGCGTCGAACCCCCTTTTTTGTTTCTACAAGGGGATGCAAACCACAAATTCTGAGATCCACAGTGCGAGTACACCAAAGAAAAATCACATTTAACATATTTTCGTATTTTTCCCTAATATTACACACCTAGTAGAACTAATAATATCTATAACATTTAGAATGCATTAATTCACCAGTTTCATATTCTCGCTGTTAACAATATTTATATCTGAAGTGAGCTAATTCTCGCTATTAACAATATTTATATCTGAAGTGAGCTAATTCTCGTTATTAACAATATTTATATCTGAAGTGAGCTAATTCTCGCTATTAACAATATTTATATCTGAAGTGAGCTAATTCTCGTTATTAACAATATTTATATCTGAAGTGAGCTAATTCTCGCTATTAACAATATTTATATCTGAAGTGACCTAATTCTCGCTATTAACAATATATACATCTGAAGTGACCTAATTCTCGCTATTAACAATATTTATATCTGAAGTAACCTAATTCTCGCTATTAACAATATATACATCTGAAGTGACCTAATTCTCGCTATTAACAATATATACATCTGAAGTGATCTAATTCTCGCTATTAACAATATTTATATCTGAAGTGACCTAATTCTCGCTATTAACAATATTTACATCTGAAGTGACCTAATTCTCCCTATTAACGAATTAGGTCACTTCAGATGTAAATATTAATATTGTTAATAGCGAATACATCTGAAGTGACCTAATTCTCGCTAATAACAATGTTTACATCTGAAGTGACCTAATGCAAGACAGTAGATGGTGTAGGCAGTCAAAGGATCTACTTTTTCAGCAAGTGATCATTTGCTAAACTTAGCAGATAGTTAGATCAAACGATGTTTCCTTCTTCATATGCTAATTTTTAGGTTTTTTTTTGTGACAAAGGTTAATAGCCTATTATAAGAGTGAGGTAGTAAAATTAGTTACTTTGGTAATTTAAATCAACCTATGAAGTTACTAATCGCCCGATAATAGGCCTACATAATCGCCCGTTAATAGGCCTACATAATCGCCCGATAATAGGCCTACATAATCGCCCGTTAATAGGCCTACATAATCGCCCGATAATAGGCCTACATAATTTTCATTTGTTTTGGGAATTACATCTTTGTGATCACGCTAAAATAATTTTTATTATATTTGAATAAATTAAAACTGCAACAGTAGTTTGAAAGTGTTTAGGGGTGATATTTTAACAAGGTCCCCAAGAATCAGTGAATATTTCCCATGATAGCCCAAAAATAGATTGGTCAGAAAATGTGTTGTTCATTTCCTTCTGACCTGTATACATGTTATGCAAAACACAGGGTACACTAATAGCTATAAAATATCTACCGTCAGCCGAAACTTGAAAGTACATGAGCCACGTGTGCAACATCTACCGTCAACCACATCTTGAATATACATGAGCCAGGTGTGTAATATCTACCGTCAGCCGAAACTTGAAAGTACATGAGCCAGGTGTGTAATATCTACCGTCAGCCACATCTTGAACATACATGAGCCAGGTGTGCAACATTTACCGTCAGCCGAAACTTGAATATACAGGAGCCAGGTGTGCAACATCAACTGTCAGCCGATACTTGAAAGTACATGAGCCAGGTGTGCAACATTTACCGTCAGCCGAAACTTGAATATACATGAGTCAGGTGTGCAACATTTACCGTCAGCCACATCTTGAATATACGTGAGCCAGGTGTGGCCTAGTGGTTAGCGTGCCGGGCTACGTAACGGAAGGGACATGTTCGAACAACCGTAAGCCACTGTACACACTCCGCACTTTCAGCTGTTGGTGTGTTATTAGCCATTGCGGTCAATCCCGCTTTTCGGTTAAAAGTAGCCGCGTAGGTGGTGGGTGCTGCTGACTGTCATACTGGTCATCATTTCTAAATAAGAGGTTGCTGTGAAGCGTAGGGTATCTGACGTAACCGTCGTCCAGGCGTAACGTAAGATGCTGTTCATGGTGAATACATAACACGTAACCTACTATGTAGTTAAAAGCAACTTTGGTTCATTGAACGCGATATTGCTTCACAGTAAGACTGGTGGTAATTTTAGCCACTATTTTTATTGGCTTATGCTGTTGCAATAATCATTTCTTATTTCATATCACCAGCTTCAAGATGTTTAGATCTGATGTACGTTTAGTTTTATATACATGTTAAAATGGTAACACAAATAGTAATTCCTTTGGTCACCTCGGTCAGTATTTTTCTTGTTCTTAGACTAGCTCGTGCCAGTCAGTTGTGAATGCTACAGAATAAGAAATTCACAGGACTGCATCATGATAAGATCAGACAGTACAAGAAAATGGCTCAAACTGATGAGGGTCGTTTAGTCGAAACGTTGTCCTTGTAATTTGTTTACCCTTATCCAGTGATTTTAAGTTATGCACTTTTTTACCATTTGGTTTTTAAGACATAAGTTTTGGTAGAACAAAACAAAATCTGAAGTTTAATGTATAGCTTATTCTACAAAAGTGATAAAAACAAGAACATGAAGGCACAGATGTTAGCATTATATATAGGTACAGCGGTTTCAATACAACTTACAAGCTAAACATGCCTATAACAGACAATCCATGACATACTTCAAAACGTTCACTATTAACAACAATGAACATATTATAGTTAAAGAAGAAGTTACTGAGCATTACGATTATTTACACACTCGATATGAGAGGTTAGTTAAAAACATATCGTAATATATTGTTTTCTTTGTATTATATTCAACATTGTTAAATGTTAATTACAGAACTAATATTTTAACTATTTATTGTACGATTCAGTATTATCTATTATTTTGTATCACCAGAAACATTAGTTTTATTGGTAATGTCCCGCTACTTGGCTCCACACCTATATAGTAGGATGTGGCGTAATAACGTGCACTGTCCGAACAGTTTAACGGGTTTTCATTGGTCACAAGCCATTTTTAGGATGAGTTTTGGAAAGCTCAGCTTGAAATTTGTTATACTTTTGTGATGTTCAATGAGCATTTAATCTGAGTATGTTTGTAATTAAGCACAAAGCTACGCAAGGAGCCATCTGTGCTGTGCCGACCATGGGTATCGAAACCCGGTTTTTAGCGATATAAGCATTCAGATTTACCGCTGACCCTCTGGGGCATTTAAACTATGATAGTACTTAAAGCTACCGACTAATGTTTGGGTGTTCCCTGAGTAGAGTATATGATCGTATTTAAAGCTACCGACTAATGTTTGGGTGTTCCCTGAGTAGAGTATATGATAGTACTTAAAGCTACCGACTAATGTTTATCATATACTCTACTCAGGGAACACCCAAACATTAGTCGGTAGCTTTAAGTACTATGATTTCCCTGAGTAAAGTATACTTTATTATTTCTTTCATTAAGAGTATTGGTTGCAATACATAACTAACCTAAACCTTCCAAGCTGGTCAAAACCCGTAAGATATTAATGGGTATACAGCAAAAAATATTGTTAACAGCGAGGGTGCCCAGTGATGAAATAATGTAATTTAATTTTTATGGACGAGAACGTAAAAAAAAAAATATTTAGTTAGCTATACTCATTATCACACTATCAAGATGATTTTCAGTTTCGCTTGCTCTGATTGGAAGTTAATATTAATTGTTATGAAACTGAACTGTTTGTTTCAAAGACAGTATCAAGATAAGCAGCTTTACATAATTCTTGTGAAAACATACTTCAATCTACAACGTTTTAGGCTTCATCTTTTTTCCGAGTATAACACAGTTGTCTACCTGATGTTTTATAACGGTAGAAACGGTAGGTGTCAAATTAAACGTAGAACCCACAAAGTCTATGAACTTAGCCCAAACAATGAAGGTTTAAATGTAGTGTATACATTTATCAAAAGATAGTCGAAGAGTATTGTACCTCACGTTTGGAAATATTACCCACCCCCCACCCCACCCGGTGGCTTAACGGTAAATCTATGGGCTTCTAACGCTTAAGATCAGATTTCGATACCCGCGGTGGGCAGAGCATATATAGTCTTCTGTGTAGTGTAGCTTTATGCTTTTGTCCCCCTGTTGGTCAGCTTTAAGTTTACGGACTTACACCGCTAAAATTCGAGGTTCGATTTCCAGCGGTGAACAGAGTGCAGATAATTCATTGTGTAGCAGCTTTCTACTAAAAAGAAAACAACAACAGCGACAACTGTAAATATCATCCGCTGTAATTGGTGGATTATATTTGTTCATCTTAAAATAAATCCCTAAGCTGTTTTCTTAGTATATTCCCCTGAGGCTTCTCAGCTACTAAATATATTTTCAAATCCTTAGATTGAAGTAGAAATATTGAGACGTGCAACAAAAAGCCACTTACCTGTGTGTGTTCTTTTGTGGATTTTCAAGTTTTCGCTCCTAGCGAACACTTTGCCGCAGCCGGGGAAAGGACAAGGGAAAGGCTTCTCGCCCGTGTGCACCCGTAAGTGGTTGACCAGCTTGTACTTGGCTTTAAAAGGTCTCCCATTGCGAGGACAGTCTTGCCAAAAGCAGGCGTGGTTATTGGATTCTGTTCCCCCCACATGATCTATCGTCAGATGGGCGACTATCTCGTGCATCGATGTAAAAGTCTTGTTACATGCTTTGTGTAATGTTGGTTCATCTGATTCAACCCATAAGCACGTTATTTCCTGCTTTATGGGATGACGCATATATCTAAAAAAGGCCCCAGGACCATGGGGTCCCATATTCATGTGCCCCATATTCATTGGCCCATAAGTAGCAGGCAGGTGATCTGTCCTTGGCCCGGTCATTTGATTGAAGGTGTCTGCCCGGCCATACATGTCTGTACTGGAAAGAGAAAGCCTTACTTGGCCGTTCACGTGCCCCGCGTGATGTGCTGACGGGTGATCAAACCCAAGAAATAGCACGTGAGTGGATGCCGGGTCACCCGTATGATGGGCAACATGAAGTGCAGCTGAGGAGGGAACGAACATTCCATGATGAGATGGACCGTTGCCATTAAGGGCGGCATAGCTGCTGACGTGACCGTGATGATGATGATGAGGATGAGAAACGCCGTACCCATTTGTCTGGGAAGGGAACTGGTGGTTTCCTTGAGCCGTCAGGTCTCCTGGCATTACGTGAGGTGGGGATAGTTTGATACCACCCATGTGGGTTGTGTCCATGAACGGGCTCAACATGTCCGATACACTTTGTTCCTGAGATCCGCGGTTGTGGGTAGCTGCAGCAACGGCCTGACTCAGAGGATATCCCGCCGACACACCATTGAAGCCTGGGTGTGAATGAGTGATGCTAGCATGAGACGGAACGTACGAAGTAGCCATGTCTACTAAGCAGAGTGTAGGATTCCGCTTACTTAACCCATGATCCATAATCGTGCTAGTCAACGCAAGCGTCATCGACCAATTTTCCGCGTGCACTGTTCCTTGACGGCGCTGACGAATAGTTTCCTCGTTGTTCTGCCAGTTGGCCTCCCGCTGTGCAACACATTCAAGGGGAGTATACCACCAGTTGATTGGATACTGTACAAAAGTAGGCAGGAATATTTAAAATCAGCGAATCGTCATCCTGGTTGTATGTCTGTTCTAGGCGTGACTCACGGTTAAAACTGTCAATCAAAAATTCAAAACGCATGTATTACGATGGAAAGGGAAGAAAATAAGCGTATAATAAATATTTTACACGAGGACACTCTTCTGTCAAGCTTTTTTTTCCTAATTCAAAACCACGTATTAAATAAAAACGGTGTAAATGAAGTATTCCAATTATGAATATATAATTTCTTCATTATGGTTGTCGTAGCTATTGTGCACCCGATGAAACGCCAGGTTTTAAGTGTTGAAAATATTCTGTAATATTTTTTCTAAGCCTATTTTAAACCGAAGCGATATTTAGCAAGGTATTTAAATGTTACTTGCGTAGAACAAGCGACTCTAACCAGAATACAAATACGCGTTTCTTTACTATAAAACATACTATTTATAAATTTCAGTTTGTACAGAATGCATTTTTCTGTATCGCTACCAAATACGGATACATAACAATACATTCAGTTCAAACTCTAGTAGTAAGTAGTCGTTTACAATGTAAGAAGTAGGCCTCAGTTTTTAGTTCACTATCGAAATTTATGTTCTGTTGTTGTTGTTTTTTACTTTCTTACTGTTGAAGATGAAAAGAAAAATATCAGAACACGAACTTCGATAGTTGAATAATAAAGCTTGGAGACGGCTTGAATGTGTAATGAAGAAAAACTATAATATAAGTTTAACATAATAGCAAATGTACAACGTTTCGACAAGATTTTGTCATCTTCATTAAAGCCGCCTCCAAGCATTATTAGTCTCAAAGTAGGTTCCTCGTCATTGAATTTTACTTAGCACGCTGTTTACACGTGAAGAACACTCTTCTTCTCCTGTAAACTACATATTGGTAAATTAAATTACCAATATTTCACGAAAACGTTTGTGCAATTTTTTATAACTAACGTTTTCATAATCCATTGTTTGCAGAATTCTTCTAATATTTCTAAGATTAATGTGGCTCTTTTTTCTAATGATCTAGGTTTCGCTAGACGAAGTATTTGATTTAAAGTTTGAAACAGTAATTCAATAAATGAATAACATCTTGTCAAATACATATCTAGGTTCCATCAGACAAGCCTACGAGAAATGGGCACAGAGAATATAATAAGGAAATATAGTGTTCAGAACATTTATCTTCATTAACAAATATTCAAACACACACATATTATTGATGAGACCATGACATATCTAGGTAAACACAGTTACATCTTTAAAACCTTAACCTAACTACAACAATAAACATTATGTTTAGATTAACCCAATATTATAAAGTTGGAATCAAATGCACGTGACTCTTGTTTTTCCGTCACATGTTTTTTCCCACTTACAAAGTCACACTACTATTTTAAGTACCTAAAGTCACACTACTATTTTAGGTACCTAAAGTCACACTACTATTTTAAGCACCTAAATCACACTACTACTTTAGGTACCTAAATCACACTACTATTTTAAGCACCTAAAGTCACACTACTATTTTAAGCACCTAAAGTCACACTACTACTTTAGGTACCTAAATCACACTACTATTTTAAGCACCTAAAGTCACACTACTATTTTAAGAACCTAAAGTCACACTAATACTTTAGGTACCTAAATCACACTACTATTTTAGGTACCTAAAGTCACACTAATATTTTAGATACCGAGAGTCACACTACTATTTTAAGTACTTGAAGTCACACTACTATTTTAGATACCTAGAGTCAAACTACTATTTTAAATACCTAAAGTCACACTACTATTTTAAGTACCTAAAGTCACACTACTATTTTAGATACCTAGAGTCACATTACTATTTTAGGTACCTAAAGTCACACTACTATTTTAGATGCCTAGAGTCACACTACTATTTTAGGTACTTAAAGTCACACTACTATTTTAAGTACCTAAAGTCACTACTATTTTAAGTACTTAAAGTCACACTACTATTTTAAATACCTAAAGTTATACTACTATTTTTAAAATAGATTGTCCATTATGTTAAACAGTTTTTAAAGTCTCGGTCAATAGGCAATCAAGCTTGTTTATGTGTGTGTAACCGCAAAGTTTCAAATTTGACAATAAGCACAATACCCATTGTAGGACTCGAACTCTAAATTTTAGCGTAATAAGCCCTCCAGCATATCGCTGAGGTCAACTGGGTGGTCATATTGGAACTTTAGAATTTAAATGTATATTTAATGGACTGTGTCTTTACAGTTATAGCTTGTCCTATATATATTGTGGACAAGTGTATATACTTCTATACAAACACTGAAGCGTGAGCTTGCGACTGTGAATTACAGTTCTCAATCACGCGCATATATAATTCTCGGAGGAAACATAAATACAAGCAAAACAGTACAGGATGAAACACAGAATGAAGAGATGAGGAAGACAAAGAAGATTGCGTTAGTCAAGTTTTATTATATGTCCATGTGTGAGGGAGTCGGGATGAGACAACATGTGTTTCACCACACGTGTGATCTCGGACTATCGTGTCAACCCAGCCAGGAAGTTCAATTTCATGGTCAAGCTCTAGTGGAGTGGTAGTAACCCAACACAACCATGAGAAAGAGGAACAAAAATATTTATTTCAGAATGTATTGATTAGTCAGGCTAGTAGTAAACTTTAATCATTTCCTTCTAGTTACAGCTGGAAAGTGGTAAATTCTCAGCAGACTTCAGGATATGGAAACATGTGGCGTAGGAAAGAAGCGTCAATATCAAATGCGTGGATGTTAAGTTAGAACTTTCTGGCTATGCTTTAAACAATGGCACACTAAATGTTATAATCTAGTAACACTCGACGTTTACCACAAGCCGTTAGACACTATCAAATTTACGTATATTGTTCCTTTGTTTAAAGCTGCCCAAGTAGCTTAAAGTAACGTTTGTTCACAATGAAATTTGACCAAATAAGTTAGTGCACGATGGACAGAAATCAGTGACCACATTGTCTCGCGATTTGCGTAGTATGCTAGACGAGATTTTCAATTTGTCCTAACATATGAATTTTATAATAGCATATGTTTTAATACTACATGTGCTTAAGATGTATTTAACATATTAGTGCTACGTGTGTATATATATATATATATATATATATGCATACATCGTACATATATTTCCTGAGTCTACTAATAATTCCTCAGTCACAAATGAGGACCTAACTAGCTTTCCTTTAAACGTTTTTAACTGATAACAATTGTAAGTTTAGAACTTAGTTTGCTATGAAACAAAAGTAACATTATCCTTCAGATCAGAAGTTTGAAAGTCACGTGTTTCGTATCCACAACTTTGATCATTTTAACACTGTAATTTCAATTACGACATTCTTCTAATATCTCAGCCACTTTCTATGCTTATGATATTAATATCCTAATATGATCGGAATCATTGTTTCTGCTTTTTGGCAGTAACAGTTGTGTGGTTTTTGTTTTATCGACTGACAAGAAATGTATGACAAAAAGTTTCTGACATTAACCTCTTTTAGATCTTGGGTTTGATTTATTTAGATTAGTAGCATCTACTGGAACATCCACTTTTAGTTAGGCTTAAGCCTTCTATATATATATACAGTTTCTACGACGTTCTGAGAACAAAGGCCCATACAGTTCCTACATTCTGGGAACAAAGGCCCAATTTTATATAGCATCGTTGATAGCTGTTTTTTATATTGTTGTAAGAGATTACTACCTATAATGTTAATGATAGTATTCAAGCACGACATAAACATAGACAGATAAATTAATGACCTGTAGCAAAACGTCAGTGACTGTATGCCAACTTAAAGCAGCATAGGGATATAGCGAACCATATATATATATCACATTCCTTTGTACATATGATAAAGCATAAAGTAGTCATTTTAGGCTTATGGAATAAAACACAGCCTGTAACTTAACTTGGTAAAGAGTTTAAAATAATTTCATTTGAATGCATACTATGCATATATTACTCAGTAGTTGAGTATGTTTTTTTAATGATTTGAGAGCCTCACCACGTTGTAACAGTCCATGTTGTCACGTCCGGTCATACCCCATCTGACGACAATGAATCTTGACAAAAACCCTGCAATGTAATTTCCACTGGAAAAGTCTCCGTCGTAAGAATGTTATGTCAAAAGTACACGCTGTTCCCTGTGGCCTTTCCATACGTCATTTACTGTGTGAAAATGACAGTTTCCCAGTGCCCGTTTCTACAGTCCGATCGCGCAGAAATCTATAGGTACTGCGCCTGCTGACTTAACATGTATACCCGATTTATTCTCTAATATGCGATGATTGAACGGTATGTCATGGAAGCAAGTTGTTTACAAGTGACTTATGTCACTTCTCCAGACAGAAATCCTTCTGGACTATGTTGCTTACTGTTGCCTGAGTCACGTGGACATCTTTTGCTACTGATATTCGTGCTCTAATATGCGATGATTGAACGGTATGTCATGGAAGCGAGTTGTTTACAAGTGACTTATGTCACTTCTCCAGACAGAAATCCTTCTGGACTATGTTGCTTACTGTTGCCTGAGTCACGTAGACATCTTTTGCTACTGATATTCGTGCTCTTGGATTCTAACCTGTTACAAAACACCGCACATTGTTTATCATAGCTGAGGTACGACTTGTTGCAGGGCTCTTTCTTCGTGAATATTCCTTTGTTTTCCAGTTCCATTAAGTAACTAAGATACCCTGTCTCGGAAATTATAAATTCCCGATCTAAACACATCTTTATGAAACGAATGTACAATATTATGCTTCGGAAAAACCTGTTAGATATTTTCCTGAAAGCTGTCAATCTTTGGTGGCGTCACACTACTCACGAACACTAAACAA